AAAAATCTATTGGAAATAACGTGTTTTGAAAAAAAAAATAAAAATGTAAGCTTAATTTCAGCTGGGAAATAGTTTTGACAAAAAAATAACAGTTATAATCAATTTATGGCTATTTTTTCCATAAGAATCAATGTATAACTCGATTTTATTGAAAATGGAGATTACACGTTTTTCATAGAAACACCTAAATTTACACTAGAAACAACCGTATAGAAACTGTAATACTTGTATTATATTTTCAAATATTTTAACCAATTGAAAGTTTTTTTATCTACATTAATTTTAAAAAAATGTATAAAATTGAAAATGTTATAATATGCATATTAATAGCTCAACATAAATCAAAATATTTTGAAAATTTTTTGGTGTATATAAAATGGTACTTTAAATAATCAGTGAAAATTATATGTACCTATTTACGGTAATTATTTTTCAATAACACCAAAAGCCAAATATGATTTTGTCAAAAACAAATAGAACAATATTAAAAACAAAACCTTCTACAAACTTCATTTCGATTATTTTATTGTGTTGAAAAAAAAACCTCAAGTAATCGTTTAAAAATATATAAATATATTGTATTAAGTATTACCTTCTTTCATTATTCTGTTTGCTTAATTTCTGGTACCTATAGACAGAAGGACATAATATGTTACCATCCACTTTATCTTTTTTCGGAACATATCATCATTCTCTTCTTCGAGTGTGGCGTATGTTAAAATTACCTCTATAGGAGCATTTCATTATAACTCTGTACAAAAAAAAAAAAATAAAAAATGAAACAATTCCCAACCAATAAAATTCAAAGACTAAATGTATTTAGTATTTACGTAAAGTACTAAATTTAAAAAACGAAAGTGAGTGCTGTCATGGGACGAACGAAGTTTCTTTTCCAACAAATATTATAGATTCTAAATACATTTTAGTGGAACGATTCAAAATAAAAACAAATGTGAAAAATGAATGAAAGTGAAAATTATTACTGTTTAATTACTATTATGTAAACCATGTTCAATAGGTAATCGAAATTACAGGCCTGTGATTACTGAAATATGATACGTAAGTATATTTGTGATGTAATTTTTTCCAAATATCTTGAAAATACTGCATCAATAGTAGTGTTATCTTGTAGATTCTGTTAGATTGTTTATCATAATATGTAAATTTAATGTGTCCATAAGGAAAGTTTTAAAAGTTTCCGATTTCTTCTCATTAAAATTAATGTAAAAGTCACCAAATTGTTATAATTTATAAATTAAATGCATAATATGCAGATCTTATTACGCTGTTTCAAATCCTATCGCGTTATACCCATTTTCTATTACCTAGTCTAAACCAAATGCGACACACAAAGAAATGTAATCACGGTAAAGGTAAAGCACTATATGTATAGGGATATATGCAACAATCAGATTATTCTACGAAAACAATTTCATGAAATAAAAATGTTTAAGCGCCATGCAAGGACAATATAAAATGTATATAAGATTTAACCAAAAGTTTATGCTTTGTAAGCACCGTGGTATAGAATTCAGTGTCTGGTTGTGCATAAAATACTAGTGATATAAGCGCCCAGCACTTTTGATTATTTTCACTTTTTCCCCCGTCATTAGGGGATTCCCATTCCCACTTTCGAGCCCACTAGACGGAAAAAGGTCGCTTTCCAAAGCTTCAACAGCGGTCGAAAACCAAATTTTCGGTACAGACGTGACAACCAAATTTCCTGTGAAGGCGAGATAAAAATATATTATTATATAATATATACTTATTAGTTATAACTTATATTATATTTTATTAATTACAATAATTTATTATAAATACATAGTATAGGTACGTAATGTAGTGATATATTATCAATGATTTTATTATATTATCAATATACCTACGCAAGATATTTAGGTATAAATTATTAATTTAAGTGCCGTTCTAAATGTTACACCGAGAACGAAAAATTAGTTGCAAATAAAAATACGTGTTTTGACCATACCCAAGAAGAAGAAACTACTTTAAATCGGCAAAAAATAAGTAATTCTTGTAAAAGAAAGCAGTAGATCAGCAGTTATCAAAAATGATCAGACGAGGACTACAGAAATAAGTAAAAATAAAAGAAGAAAAACTAAACTATATCAATAATAAAATATCAGATTATAACAGTATGATAATTACACAGTATGAATTTGTGAAGTGTTTGAGCTTTCACAATAAGCCAAAAAAAAAATTTGTTTTTTTCTATCATTATTATTATTATTTTATACCTATACAAATATAATAAATGTTTACGCATACTTGCACATTATATTATTATTTTTTATTATATATTATATGGAATACATTCAATTAAAAATTTAATTTTTAATTTAATTTAATTTTTAATTTTTAATAAAACCTTACTATGCAATACAAAAACAAATAAATTTTAACCGCACCAACTACGTTTAAGTTGTCAGTCCTAAGTCTGAATAAATTGGGAAGGAAGTTTGTGTTCGGTATAATTTTTTTTCGTGTGGGAACTTACGTACGGGTTTAATTTTTCGTGTGGGAACTTACGTATGGATGTATTTTCCCCATGTGGGAACTTACGTACGGATGTATTTTTTCCGTGAGGGAACTTACGTATGGATGTATTATTTTTCCGTGAGGGAACTTACTTATGTACCCGCTTACCTGTTATGTTTTCGTGTGGGAACTTACTATACCCTGAATAAAGTACCTACCTAATTTATATATTATACCAAACCTATTTATGTGGAACCTTTTTTCAAGTTTTCAATAAAATTTCTTATAAAAAAAAATTTTAATCATTTAAGTATTTTTAATTTTTTTAACTGCTATGTAAGCAATATATCAGGAGAGGCTTTGTATTAAATTTTGGAGCTTTTTCACCCAACAAATAAAATATTATTGATATTTATAGAAAAAAAAAATTAGAATTTTCCTCTTGTAGTATATTATAATTACAACAATAACACTTCGTCAAAGTCCGTTTAAAAAATGGTATCCAACAATTTAAAATTGTCCATAATCAGCTCAAAACAAGTCAAAATATTTTGACAATTTATCCAGGTAGGTATAGGAATTCACAAAATAAACCTATGATATATAACTCAAGTATCTACGGACTACGGTTATTCGTTTTTGAATTACAATAAAATAAGAAAATAGCTACATGAGAAATCGAGTGATCTTCAAACACTCAAAAACTTTAATTTGAGTTTCTTGTAAATATTTTATTTTTTTTTTCATAAAGATAGATAACCTTATAAGGAATCTTGTATTACATTTTAAAATCATAGATTTAAAAAATTCTTATAAAAAAAAACTGTGACTGGATTTTTAATATTTTTCAAATATCAGAGCCTTATCTATTGAATTTTCAAGCTTTTTTAAGTAACAAATAACATTTTATTGACATTCATTTCATAGAAACAAAAACCAAATATATTGAAAATCGATAATGCCCGTAAACAGCTCAATACAAGTCAAAATAGTTTGAATATTTTATGGTGTATAGAAATTAATGCTAATATAAATATTCAGTGAAATTTGCATGTACCTATAGTAATGTATCACATGTTTCAGACCAAAAACCAAAACCGATGTTGTCAAAAACCGATTAAAAGTTCCCGTTTTTTCTTAATCTGTATGTTGTTTTTCCCAGCATTTTTTAATACTATTTTGAATTTTGACCTTAACTATCTTACTAATCTTTAACTTAACTAGGCATTCAATTTAAATAGGTACCAAAGAATAAAAATAATATATTATGTTACATGTGTTCTATAATCTATACCACAAAAAACAATTTGATATTAAAGCTTAAAAATTGACAAGATATAAACATAGGTAATTCAATACTAGTAGGTACATTAAATGATAAATAAATTGAAGAAATCATTCAAGTTAGAAGATTTAGTCAAAGAATCACTCAACGTTTTTTAAACCAAAGCATGCCTCAATACAATAATATTTATCATCTTCTTTATATATATATATTACTATACCAATAACACATGATATACATTATACACTAAGCAGTAAGCTAGTAAACTGTACTATCAAAATTAATAATATTAAAATATAAATAAATAACAATATTATAGAAGTTATCATATCAACACTCCAGCGTTTAAAAAATACCTCAACTTTAGGACCGTTTCAAGCGAATAAGATAAGCTTAAAATATATGATATGATTCATGGAATAATTGAACTTTAAAGTACATCTTGTATGTTCAGTTATTTAACTATTATAATATCAATAAAACCCAAAATCTTACAAAGTAATGATGGAGCTCTGGTAAGTATCAAAATATTTTTGTTAATTATTACAGGATGGTATTTAAATACCTTGCTGTTTCTTAGTTTGCAGCTTTCGGTTTTATGAAACTTATTTACTACTTATTATTTACTTATTTTCTGGACTAATCGTTGTATTCAGTTTAAAACAAGCTCTAATTTAAAATAGGTTACAGTATATTTAATATTAATTATTACAAATTCTAATAGTTATATAAATTATTGTTAAATTACCAAATAGTATGAGAAAAAAATCTTAATATAATATCAAATACAGTTAATGTGCAAATCTAAAAAACCAGTTTAAATATAACCACAGTTATAAAAATTGGTACAAATATCACCACAATTATTTACTTAAAAAAAAAACTAACCAATCAACAAGCTTACTATACTTTTTTTCCTATAAAAATAACCTCAGGTGGGGACCAATTTTTTGAGGAAAAGTCAAACTACACCACTTGATTAATCAGTATAACCTATTTCCTCTACCTGAGATTACTACTACATTATGAGACAGTCTATAGAATATTATATACCACATTAATAAAATATAACTATAGTCAGATACTAGTAAACAATATTAAACAACAATACACTACAGATATATATGACAATAATTAATGAATTAGAACGATATACAATAATACAATTATGCTAGAAATGTACTAAAAAATAAAAAATAAATAAAAAAATCAATAATAATTACTCGACAACAATTATTTTTGTCACAAATTTAACTGTTAAATTACATAAGGGACATTTATTTGATTTTCTAAACAATTTTTTAGCACATGAGTAGCAACAATAAATATGGGCAATTTTTCCATGGTTAAATGCACCATTTTTAGGCATTATGTTACATATGCTACATATGCTTTTAATATTTTCATTCATCTGAGTGCTACTATTTTCTATACGAGTCGAAACACCCTGTTCCCAATTTGATGGACTGGATTTCTGAGAACCTTGAAGTAAGTTGTATTCTTTTTTTGGCTTTGACACGTTTAAACGTTTGACATTTTTTGTCTTGGACCGAGGCTTACTCCCGAAAAATTCCATTCTATACTAAAATAAAATTATAAAATTATAATTAAATAATATATCTTTATAATCAGTGTTATACATAAATAAAAAATATATTAGTTAACTATGTTTAATTCCCATAATATAATAATATATGATACAAGCTTGTCAACACAAAATATAAAGATGGTCATAATTGTTGTCTTCATTCAACATATTGAATATTGTATTGTAGTTGTGTAGCAAAACCCATTACCTATATTATAATATTAGAGTAAAATAATATAATATAAAAATGACTAAGAAAAAAAATGGGCCAAGTCAACTCTGTTCATGTGTTAATTTTTTTATTAAAAGTTATAACCTTTAATACAATACTAGATCATTGATTTGCATACATCATTTAAAAAATAGCATACAATTGGCTGTTTGTCTATATTTTACTTAAACATTTGTAAAAAAAAGATCATGATACTCTAATATTAAAAATTCATTCACAGAAGAAACATGAAAAGCCATTTTACTAATGTATGAATGAAATGTTATTAATAAAAGTAATAATTACAAATAATAAGTAATAGTATTAGTATTTTATTTGTTCAAAATGAAAAAAAAGATTATGATAAAAACTATGGCATTTTTTTTAAATATATATTATTTAAAAAATGAGGTTTATATGATAGACATTGAAGTAATATTATTACATACAACATATAACAGGAATCTAGTGGTCTTACAATGGTGTTTATTTATTTTTATTTTTATATCCTGTATACAAAATTTCTACCAGAAGGAGTACTACGATTTCAACATAAAATACCTTATCTTTTAGCAAATTGGATCAATATGGTACATTAGACAGTTAATTTTTCGATTTTATCAATAGTTATTTAATGCCACGGTAAAAGCCATCGAAAAATAACGATAAACCTCTAAACATTGGATTTTAATTTCTAACGCTTTGTTTATTACCATAGAAATGAATAAAAAAATTTTAATGTTATAATATTAATTTAACTTACAAGATATAATAATTAATGACAATATAAAATATCTAGACTGACAATCCGTCTTCGCTCAAAATCATTTTTCTTATACAATGATAGAATATCATTGAATTCAAGTTTAATACAATCCATTATACAATGACCCACTTTTAATCTACTGTACAGCAGAGCGACATTCACTTATCCGCTTTTTTTTTATAATTGATAAAAAAAAAATTGGTGTAACAATGAAATTATATATCTAGGTATCAATTATTAACAATTATTTAGTACTACTGACATACCAACACACACATGTGTGTTGTGCAATTCACCCATAAATAACATATATAATACATTCAAATTAATGACAAAATCATATCAATTTGCAAATTCTTACTCGAAAACAAACAAAACAGTATTGGAAGTAGGGATTGGGGTTTTCCTTTCTGCATTGTAGACATGTTTTAAAACAGGCTGGAGGAGGTAAATCTGTTTTTGAAGTAGTTACTCTTCCATCAGTGTCGTCAGGATTGTATCCATTGTCTGGTAAAGTATCATCACAATTTATAATATTATTGGTGACCTAAAAAAAAAATAGAATATCTGGTATACTAAGATGTTGAACATCTTACAAATATACACATATCAAATTTGTGTTCAAGTTTGTGTGATAATTATTAAGTTTGACAATAGGTCAACTAGGTCCACTAAATTATTGACGCTTACTAAACAAAATTGTAACTGCTAAATACAAATTTGTTGTGTTGTTTGTTCTTACGACAGCAACAACACTGTGGGTATGGTATCCTCTTGAAGAAATTATTTTAAGCTAGGGTGAACATTTTATATGCTAAAACAACTTATCTAAGAAATGTAATAGTTATAAAGTTGTTACAAAGATTGTGAACAAAAACGGTTTGTATTTCACCTTAAAATCTATCAATATTGAGGAATCTGAAGAATTTGATTCTATATTATGGCAAGACGATGAAGTGCTGACCACATCAAATTCTGTATGATTGGTTTGACCATTGCACTCACAGTCGCTTCTACAACTCTTATCTGAGGAAAGATCTGCTTCGCTTATTGCTTCCACTAAGAAATGAGTAGATAATACTAATTATTAAATATCCATAATAAATAAAAATTAGATTCATTTTTTTAAGGTAAACATAAAATTGAAGCTAAATTACTTATAATTTTTATTTATCCCTCCTAATTAGGAAGGAATAAAATATTTCACAACTTAGGAATTCATACCCCCATGAGTTGTCTATGTCTTACTAATGCAAAATTTACCAACATGTACGTCCAGAAATCCCAATATTGTGTTGGCATTAATATTAAAGTGAATTGATAAATTAACAAACTTAAATTTATGAACATTATCTCTGTTCTGTTATTGGTTTTTTTTAAGTGAATTATAAGCATTTTTAAATATTAATATTTTACTCATAATTTATTTAAAAATAAAATTTTGTAAAAAGCCAACGAAGATAATTTTCTTTTTTAACTGATACATGTATATCTTGGTATATTTTGCATTAGTAAGACTTAGACAATACATGTGGGTACAAAATCTTCTTAAATAGAACTGAAATTGAGGTTAGACAGAACTCACAAGAGTTTATATATTTATTTCAATAATAGTTTCTTTAAACATAATGGAATACTTAAAATAGTTTATTTTTATTTATAAAAAAAATGATTATCAAAATAGTTAAAATATACTATTATTTTAATTTTGACAAGTAAAAAATATAATTCATTTAGTTGACAGTTTCTTAATGATATGGACACTACAATTAATTACTTTAGTAAATACAGTACAATTTTTTTTTTAACTTTTTCTACTTTTATTAGTTATTTTAGGGTATTTTAATTTCCAAAAATTTATAAATTAAAAATAAAATCAAACTATTTATAGAAGTTTAAAAATATGTTGCACAAATAATTCAAATTAATTATTTAAAAAAACCCTTTTTAGCATTTTATGAGCCACAGTTATTTTTCAATGGTATTTAGTAAATCATTTTCAATTGGTTGAAATTGGTCAATCATAATATTTTCAATGATAATATACAGTTTTAATTCTTCAAAAGCATTATACTTTTCTGAGTATTTTGGTACATAGAAATCGAATTTATGATGAGTAGCTTATGAGTTGTAAGTATCTGAAGTATAGATTTGGGGAGTAATAGACCAATATTTGTTGGGGTCATCACATACCAATCCACTCCACTCCACTAAACTTTAAATAATTATAACTCATAAGCTACTCTTACTAAATTCAATTTTAATGTATCGAAATACACAAAAAAATATTCTGCTTTAGCTTTGGGAATATGAAATTTAAAAATATATGTCTGTACATAAAAACTTAAAAATGCAGAGGATAAAAATATTAATTAACATTTATTTTTTCAAATGATTTTTTAACCAAATTTATCAATAAATGTATTTTTAGTATTAAAATTCAGAATATTGATTTTATATTAATTATTTTCTCATATCTTTAACTAACATTTAAAATGTTAGTTTAATGTAGTGTAATAATGGTTAAAGTCTGGAGGTCTAAATTACTATTGAAAATTTACAAATAGACTACTTCACAAAAATAAAAAGTGTTTGTCAAAAAGTCAAAGTATTTAATCAATATATTTTGTTGAAAATAATTACTTGTAGTTTTTGATTGAACACTGTGTACACTTTCCGTGACATCTGAATCATATGTGTTTAAAATCAAATCAGAACTTTCCAAAGTATAGTTGTATATATATCTAGTCCTTTTGCCTCCCCAAGTGGCATCTTCATCGTCGTTCAAATCTATCATCAGAATCATAAAACATGTACAAATTATAGATTCAACAACTTAAAACAATATTTACATACCATTATTAGTACTTATATCGTTCACTTGTCTTTTCAAAGTATGGTCCATATCTAAAATTATCAGAATATTCTAATAACTTCCAAATAAATATGAAAATAACAAACTTATTTTAGCAGTAGACGGAGTAATGAGAAATAAAAATTAATTTATTAATGCACCTGCCTATTCAATTATATATTTATACAACTTATAAATAGCATTAATTTTAGTTTTCTGCTACAGTATAATAGGTACCTCATTAAAGCAGACTCTGCATAAAACAAATTTTTTGTTTCCATAAAACCGGGAACCTTGGCCGAATAAAATATGAATGATTCTTTGAGTTATGATCATGATCTCTCAAGCACGGACTAAGATGTACAGGACTGGACACGAGATGAATATTGTGGTTACGAAATGTATTACAACAGGCGGAGTTCGGGGGTATATTTTCCTTTTAGCATTACTAGCGCTGTCTTAGTGGATATTTATGGAACTAGAAATTTGTATGATGTGTTCTAGTTCTATAAGTATCCACTAAGACGGCGCTAGTAATGCTAAAAGGAAAGTATCCCCCCGAACACCGCCTGTTGTACTACATTTCGTAGTCAACCCCCCACACCCTCCAACCTTGTCGTGTCCAGTCTTGTATATCTTAGTCCGTGCTCTCAAGTCTCATGTCACAAAATTATGTTATCAACTCGAATAATAAATTGTAGTAATAAATTATTATTATTATTATTCTTACATTAATAATACCCTGGTTATGTTCTCCGATTATAGAATTAAACCTTGGTTACGTGTACAACTACAAATTATAGTACCTATGTGACATAATGTGATAATGATTTATTGATAATGACTGATAAAATTTTCAGTTACCAGCACGAACCGTGATACTTACGACTTACCTATATAAATCCAAATAGGTGCAATCAAGGTGTATTGGTATATCAATACACCTTGGGTAGTGGTGGCGCGAAATTAAAGTATTTAATGCTTTAAGATAAAAACAAAATTACGTCAAAATTTTAATTATTTTTGAAGTTACATAAAAAAAATGTGTGATTAGGATGGTTTTGATAAAAAAAAGTTAACTGGCCATAATTTAAAAGATAAAAAGTTAGACCTAATCTTTAAAGGGTATTTCTTCATAATTTTGGGTATACTTTCATAATATGACGTCTGCCGGTCGGTGACACCTCAAAAAGCCACCCGACAAATAACCACCCGACACAAAGCCACGCGATAACGACAAAAGGCCATTCGACAAAACATCATTATCAAAATGCGACGAAATGCCACTCGGCATAAAACCATCGTACCATACTACCAACCGTAAATTTGTGTACGAAAATCGTATCATAACGAATCGTCAAAAAGCCACACGACAAAAAACCACCAGACATAAACCCACTGAAAAACGTCAAAAGATCATCCGACAAAACACCATTATCATAATCCGACAAAATGCCATCCGACATAAAACCATCGTACTATACTACCAACCGTATTTGTGCATGATAATTCCGAAAATTATATCGGCAAAAAGTCACCTAAATTAATTAACTATTATCAAAATGAATTAAGTTTCTGGCGGCAAATTTAAAATAGGTACTAATTATAAACATTTTTAAATATTAATTTTCGGTGCATTAGTTTCCCACTATCTTATTTTGAATACGAAAATGTACACACAGTAAACTTAGTGTGACACTGTGCACAAGTACTTTTTAATGCAACTAATGCAAGTAAGTTAAATTTTATTCAGTGAAGTAAGTGAAACTATGATTTTAAAGATTTTAAATTCATAAAATAATATTCTGATCTTTCAGGTTATATTATTAATATTATGATTTTTTCATTTTAGATTTAGATATTTTGGTATAACAGTTACCTATATGTATTGTATTTATATTAAATTCATTACAACTTTTTGAATGTTAGAAAAGAATATTAATAATAATACCTTTTGAAATTGTGCTTATTAATAATTCCCACTGGTTGAACAAACATGATACCACCTAACCTACCTGTAAGTACCGTTATATTGTTAAAATTTATGATGTGCAAACGACCAACCAAATTTCCTACCTGAGGTACCTACTATAATGAAGCGCAAACGACAAACTAAGGTTGGTTTAATATTTATAATATAGGTACAAAAAATAATTTCACTTCCTTATATATGATAATATGTATACATCGTTTCCAGAATCGTACAGTGAAAAAAGCATACGGAATCTGATATTAAGTTTTTCTATTTTTCTATCAAACCCTCCAATAAAAGTCATCAATACTTTGAAACTTACGAACGATTTAACCACAGCCTCAGCAGTAGATGTTCAATTGGAAATTGCAGCATCAGAATCGCTTACAGATGTACCTGCTTATTGTTTACTAATTTATGATTGTATTGTATAATAAGTACCTTTTACTAGGGAAGTAAGAAAACTTAGAAAACGTGTGTAAAATATAATTAAGAATTAATTTATAACAATAAAAAAAAAATATTTAATAATTTGTGTCAATAAGTTCATCTAATTTGCGTTATCCCTATTGGCTATTAGAAACTTTTCGATTACAATAATTTAAAGTAGATATCATCTATTACATTTTTGTAATAACTATTGAAAAAATGTATATAATTATTGAGCTAAATAAATTGTAGAAATGACAATATAACTCGTATTATATAATATTATAATAATATATCGCTTATTACTAATAAGTTATTAGTTATTGAATGGTCATTATGTAATGCGCACCAAAAAAATGTTTTCTAAAAATAAGTAAATATATTTGTAGGAATTCTAATTTCCTATTGACTATGGTTATTTAGAGTCTTAATTCCAATTTTAAAGTACCCATTAAAGTGATTAGAATTTAAATAAGAAATACAATTTTCAAGTCGTAAAAAGTATACATGATAATCATAGGCGTACCCTTTGACGCAGAGAGTGCAACATGGTGTGTACCCAGGAGGCTAAGGGGCTTTATCCGACCTGCTTTTGGTGGAATCAAAGTTTACCTATCGTACTTAGTTTTGAAGTTACCTATTGGCTATTGTTAATAAACCACGTAAAACTGAATTATTATAAAGTTAATGTAGGTAATGTGTCTTATTCATGAATAATATATTTATAACTAGCTGATCCCGTGCACTTCGTTGCCCTTAAAAATGTGTGATTGTTTAAATCTTTTTGGATGTAACTCGCAGCAGTAAGTGCAACTCAGCCACCCTGGTAGGCAGTCCGACTACGTCGGATCGCGGATATTGTGAGATACCTACTACATTAAGTAATACATTTCTCGTAAAACGTAACTTTTAATGCCATAGACATATATATTGATAAAAATAATAATACTAATCAACAAACATGCAAGATTAACCAATAGCAAGATTATATATTGATATAATACACTATTATTATTTTATTTTTTATTTATTTTTTATATATTAGATTATTTACCAATAGCAACCATTTATAAAAAAATATTTCTACCGTAAATTATTAAAATCCCTGTTTGAGCACTTCTATTATTTTTTTCTGGACAACCCTTATCACTTAGGGGTATGAAAAATAGATGTTAGCCGATTCTTATACCTACTGAATATGCATAAAAAATTTCATAAAAATCGGTCAAGCCGTTTCGAAGGAGTATCGAGACTAACACTGGGACACGAGACATTTATATATAAGATTATGTAATACCTAGCTATTGATGTATCATTATTAAACTTTTATTTTTAATAACGAACTATCCAATATAAATATATAAGACTATTATGTACATAGCCAACCGGATTTTTTTTTTAAATTACATTTAACCTACTATAAAAGAATAAATAGTATTAAATAAACTGTATTTTTTAAAAAGTATTAAAGGTGATGTTTATATCTATAAGGAAATATACATTTTTCTACAAGTAGTACATATTTTTAAACACAATTGTGAGTTTTACGTATTTATGGACAAAAAGTTCAATGTTATTGCTCGTGTTGTGAAAAGTTTAGAAAGTAGGTACCATAAAATTAAGCATACAAAATCACACATTTAAAAAAAAAAATTCCAAAAAATTGCTTGGGAGCTAAACCGCATTTATGCCAAGAAATCTTAGGGGGTGCAGCCGTGCAGGTGTTTATTTTGTGGGTAACATAACAAATTTACTCTCAGCGGATAACTATTTGAACATTACCTGTGTTTGATTTACGATTGTTAAATTATTTAGAACGTTATGCGTATATATAATATTTCGAAAAAATTTTTTTCCAACGCCTTCTTTATCACCATAGAAACGACTAAAATTTAAAAATTTAATAAAATAAAAAATATTCTTTAGTCCGCTCAGAATGGTTTTTTATCGAATGTAATCATTGCATTCAAATTTAATATTGTAAAATTACACTATCCTGCCCAAGGGCCGAAGAAACGATGAACAAACTTCCTCCACCACAGTACTAACCTACTAATTTTAAATATGTACCTACCCAATAAATTTGTCATATTTCTGCGTTTTAGTTGCAACGTAACAATGTTACGTATATGGTGGTGCTGGTGGAGCAAATAGGAATATGATATGGTTATAAAGAAATGAGCTTTCTAGAGTCGAATAGTGTTTAATTATATAATATAGTAAAAGTATTGTTTTATATAATTTATAGTTAAACCATACTTATGATAAATGTATGAGTTCAATAAAATATTACGAAAATATACATACGTAAATACGTTAGTGTGTAATATTCACCCATCACAAAAATTATAGAGAACAATACTTTTTAGCCTTTTAGGGTATTACATCGGTTTGTCTAAATATTGTCTCATAACAATTTAAACATAATTTAAATTAACCTTTTTTTTATTTCGAAAGTCGAATACAAAATAGAAATTCGCTAGACTAAACCGGTGTGAAAAAAAATGCACCGGGATGTTTGGACCATATCATTTACATGGTTCATTATCCCGGTGCGGGATAATATGGGATAATTTTAAACCGGTTTAGTCTAGCGAATTTCTATAAAGTCAAACAATAATTAAAATATTAAATATAAAACCATATAATA